ATTTTTTTTTTTTTTTTTTTGGAAAATTTTGGGGCATAGTCCATTCATTCAAATGAGAAAAATTACAGGTAAAGGTAAAAAAAAAACAGAAATACAGAAGAGAAAAACTAAAATCCTAAATCTCAGGAAAAAGGAGATTTAGAATTCTTAAGGACTCAAGAACCTGTCAAAAAACCTACAAAAACAATTAAAAAGAACAAAGTGGCATCGGCCACGAAGGACTCAGGTCGCTCGAGTAAGCACTGTAGCAGTCGAAAAGGGTCCAAAAACAAGAGCGAAGCCCCTGGTTGCCAAAAAGACCGTCCTAGAGGCAGCTGATTAACAGCATTCATCATCGTCCTTCCAAAAAAAACCTGTATGCTTCTTGAAATGTATGGAATTATACCAAAAATTCAGTCCTGGACTTTCCAACATCAAAACAAAGTAGCAGTGATATAATCGGGCAACCTCCAGAATTTCAAGTTCCAAAGAACTTAACTTTTTTTCCAACCTTGTGTCTTCCATATAACTGCCTTTTTAATTTTTGAAATCACAGTGGCTTGGCAATCGGAAATGCCTCCAAATATACGATCATTCCGTGCTCTCCATAAGAAATAAACCATAGCAGAAGCAGAGAGCAAATAAACATTAGTGTAGTAAGCAGAATATCCTTGATCCATAATGCTATCAAATAACTGCCAATAACTGCCATAAGTTTGGTCTCATCAGCATATTATTAAGCCAAGGTAAGATAGTTTTGGCTATGTTAAAAGTGTAATCACATTCAAAAAAGAGATGTGTGATAGATTCCGGGTGATCGTGACAAAAACAGCACCAGCTATTAGTGTTAATTCCACGAACTGCTAGAGCATCAGCAGTTTTTAACCCTCTTTTAAAGGCTAACCAAGTGTAGACAGCAAAACGAAGAGCATAACTTTTGTGCCAGATGTGTTTATACCAATCAACCTTCTCCAGGTAATCATAAAAATGTGCACGGAAAGTACAAAAAATAGGATTTTGATTACCAAGCCAATAATGCGCAGCAGGGTGCTCATCAATATTAACCGCACGAATGAGGCTGCAAACATGATTATCAAAACAGCTAGGGATAACCCACCTCGTACCCTGAATAATACTAGAAACCTTCAAATTATAGTAATGAGAGAAATTAGCAAGAATTTGTTTTTCTTTCAAGTAGTCAGCAATAGAGTTACCACCACACCAAGGATCCCAGAGTAAAGAAAGGTTGCAATCAGCAGAAATAGAAAAGGAAAGACATCCCTTAATATTGCTAGCTTGCTCAGAAAGGAATTTCCAGTATTTCGAGCAATGCCCAACTGTACCACGCCATAAAGACTGATAATTAGATTTCCACCAGCTAAACAATAAGCAATCCGAATTTAAGAACCTCCAAATAAGAGAACAAGTGGTGCTATGATACAGTGAATCAATCGAGGCAATACCAAGACCCCCTTTGCTCTTAGGAATGCAAGTATCTTTCCATGAGATCAAATGAAGTTTCTTCTCATTAATGTTACCATAATAAGTGAATCTAGAGTACATTCTATTTATCATTTTGCAACAGCTTTTTGGAATAATAGACCCCCTAATCCAGTATGAGAGAGTGTTGCTAATGGTGAATTTGATAAATTGGATCCGGCCTGCCAAAGAAAGAGTTTTTGCTTTCCAACCATCTAACAGTAAAGAGACTTTTTGAATCAAAGGTTGGAAATCAGCAACTTTGAGTTTTTTGTAGAAGATGGGCAATCCCAGATATTTCAGAGGGGAAAATGTCTGTTGGATGTTTAGAATACTGCAAATATCATCCGCATGCAAGGTGTTGTTTGAGAGCAAGATAGAGCTTTTGGAGGGGTTAACATGAAGCCCGGAGTTAACAGCAAATCTCCCAAGTATATCAGCTAAGATTGTAGCATTATGAGGAGAGGCAATCCCAAATACTAAAAGGAAATCCGGCTGCAAACTCCCTTTTTATAGCTTAAACACATAGCATTTCAATTCAGAAGAAATCCGGACAAATCAGAAATCAGACAAAAATCGGGCAGCACAACGGCAGTAGACAGAATTTACACAAAATTTCCTGCAAAGAAAATTTACCAAATTCGCACAGAATATAGATAATCACATTCCAGAACACTTATTCTACTGCACAGAGAATTTACCATTTCACAGAAAATTGTAGTCTACGAAAAACTCCGCCGAATCAAAAATACCCGGACAAAAATCTTTAGAAAAAAACCAAAATGTGCACACTCGGCACGTCAACAATATACGGAAAGTTACGCGGTAAAAACTGAACCAATCAAAAGATACGGACGAAAAACCGTAACGGAAACAAAATCCGGACAGAATATATCGCCAAACTCGACGGAACTGAAAATTGAGAAAGGCGGAATGTGCCTTACCTCGCGTACAGCAATATTCTGAACAGTCACCTCGGACGAAAACGGCTCCGCGTCGTCCGAAAATCAACTTTTCTCCAAAAATCCTCGAGTTTCTCTCTCCTCAGATATTTATTTTTTATAAAATTTGATTTTCTCTCTCTTCAAAACGACTGATTTCAGCTTTATAATCTTCAGATCGGCCCGGCCGATCGCCAGATCGTCCCAGGATGATCAGACCAAAATTCGATCGTCCCGATCGCCCTGGACGATTCCCAGAACTATGCTCAGGCCGATATTTTCTACAGTGCCGATCGGCCTGGACGATGTCCAAATCGGCCTGGACGATATGTACAAAAAATCACCTGGAGCAAAACTGGGCAAAATCTGGAGCAAACTTTCCACTGATCGTCCCAGGACGATCCAGATCGCCCTGGACGATCCTGGAGCAGATTTTTGATATTACAATAGCACTTTGTCAGGGTTGTTAAACCCACGAATGTTCCATGCAGCAATGTTGGGAAGGGTCATTGATTCTTGGAGGTGGGAGTAGAGGCTTTCTTTGCTTGCTTGCCTCTAGTTTGCTTTTGGTTTTGATTGTTGGTTTGTTGAAGTTTTGTGGAGGTAGAGGAGGAGGTGGAGGGTTCTGAGGAGGTTTGCGGTATAACGGGTTGATGATTTCGTGGTGAAGTTTGGCGTGGGCTGTCATGGTTGGAAAAAGCCAAATGAGTAGAGGTATCATGACTGGGATTGATGTTAGTTGTATTGTCATTAATGCCTTGGGAAGCTAAGACATCAAATTTGTTTTTGGTATTGAGGGGTGGGGCAATTTGAGTCATAGAAGCAATCTGGATGTTCTCTAAATTCTCTTCAGAGGGAGAGTTTAAATTTGGGAGAGAAGTTCCTGTGTTGAGATCCTGGGAAGGAGGTGGTAGAGTTAACAGAGGTGGGTTTGCAGAATTTTTTGGCAGCTTTAGCGTCGGGATGGGCTTGGGAATTGCCAGTTTTGGTGGAGGTTTAATTCTCGGTTTCCGACTAGAGCTTCTGCCTCTAGGTCGGGTGACAGTAATGGTTTTTAAGATAGGATCCTTGGGACACAGAGTGGGCGGATGCATGATCGAACCACATTGTGTGCATCTTTCTGGCTTCCAATCGTAATGAACACGGAGAGGAAAAGTTTTTCCATCAACCGAATAAAAAATTTCCTCAGGAAGTTGAGAGTCACTGGTTACTTGAACACATACTATCGCAAACGTCAATCTAGTTTTTGACGCAGTAAGGCCGTCCATAGCAATTGGAATACCAATACAACTAGCCAATTTTGAAATACCAACCGGGGTCCAAAGAGAAAGAGGAAGATTCATGATTTTGATCCAAAGAGGGATAGAAGGAAACTCCTCCCGCTTTGGAACAAAATCCGGGGACCATTTTTGCAAGATAAACGGCTTACAAAAAAAAAACCATGGTCCTCCAGACCATGCATGCTCATAATCTTCCAAGGCGGAAAATTTTAGCAGGAAAAAACCATCATCAAGAGTAAGAAGAGTGAGAGAACCTTTTAGGGGCCAAATTTTCTTGATGGTCGAGAGCAGAGCTTCGTAATAAGGCCTTTTCCCGATCGAGTATCCAATCAACGACAAAGACCATTCCGGTGCTCCAGCAACAAACTGCTCATTTGTGAACTCAGCAGTGAAGTTTTGGGCAGGGACGAAGGAAAGGGAGTGAGTGAACTCACTGGAAGTTTGAGGAGTGGTAGTTAAGAGATTTCTCCATAAAGGAAGCACAGCCGCCTGAGAGGCAACAGGGGTGGAGGAAGTGGAGAGAGGGGGAAAACCGTGAGCGTCCATGGGGGTGAACCCCCCGGCGAGGAAGGCGGCGAAAGCAAAACCGAAACCCTAGCAGAGCTTTAGCTTCGAGAAAAAGGTACCCTTCATCATGCTTTAATTTTAATCGATCAAATTTGATATCCA